ACAATAATAAATATATAACAACTACTAATAATATAATATACTATGCTATGCTAAAAATCTACTTTGTAACAATACTATATCAGACTATCTAGATTGAAAGTCTGAAGAGTTTGTTATTAGTTTTGAGTTGCAGCTAGTAGAGAATAATGAAGAAGAAGTTAGAAAAATAGGTATCAGGATCTGAGTAAACTTTACAAAAGTAATAACAGTTTAATGGATAACTCTAATTGCAAGTGTTGGTCTTAGCTATAGCATCAAACCAGATTAGTAATAAAAGAAAATATAGCTTGTTTTGATAGGTTTGCCTTGAGGATAAAAATAGTCTAAGGATTATAGTCTTATAGTTAAAAGTGAATAGATTTGGGTCTGTGATCTGGTAAAATTAATACTAGAGTCAGATCAAAAAGTTTAAATAAAACATCTAAGCAGAGATGTTAGATATCACAACTAATAGAGAATCTTCAGATGGATTTCTTAGATAGGTAATATAGAAAACTTACATGTATAACCAGTTGTATACTTGTTTGATAGTTTAATATGAATATGTCTATATAAAACATGTACCTGATATAAGTATTAATAAAAAGCTAAGACCAAAAAGATCATTTTAATACTGAAAAAAAAATAATAGCAAATGTCTTATTATGCATTTTATAATACATAATATGCCAAAATTATTCTGATACTGATACATAATAAGCATTTATATATTGTTAAATTTTATCTACTATTTCAGATCTGTTTAAGCTACTATTTATATTTTTATCATTACTAACTATTACAGTTGCATGATCATAACTTTTATAAATATATTTGAACAGATATTTTACTGCTTAAATAAAAGAACAAATTTTGACATTAATATGACAGTTGTACTTTTTACAAAGATACAAATTATAAGATACAACCTAATAATTATCAAGTTAAACACTTTTTACTTTGAAATATAGCTAGTATTATATTAGTGATATATTGAATATTCATTATTATTTTTACTAAACACAATTTAAAATAATTTAGAATATTCTTTTAAACATTTTTTATTATGCATACATAATGCATTTATATTTAGTATACTACAGGGTCTTTGCATTATGCATTTAACTACAGTTATATATTTATTTGAATACTTATTCAGATCAGATATTTCAGCAAAAACAATAAGATTGTAATTATTTGTGATATATGGTTTATTCTTGTCTGCAAGTATTATCAACATGCATGCATGCAAGAGACTATATATTTGTATCTCAATTATATAAATATAAGTTATTGTTTTGCTAAAGATTTTTTTTTTAATATGTTATCAAGCAAAGCATTCAATTTCATATTAAAAACATATGCACAAAGATCTAAGTGATTATATAAACTTTGTTCAAATAATAAAGCTATTTGAATTTCTATCCATTTAGAATTATATATTATTATAATAAATAAATTTAATTTTTCTGCATTTTCAACAATAATTATAACATTCTGGTAAAGCTAATATATATAGTATAATCTATCAATAAAATTTAACAAAAAAATAATTTTCTGTTCTATACAAGCACTATTTTGTAGAAGTACATTATTGGTTAAAAGTGCATCTTTTAATTTATTGTATAATTCAACTTTGGCTTTTTTTTTAGTATTAAGATAAGGTTATGCTCTTTAGTCTTTATTAGTATATTTGTTATAGCTAGTACAAATCTGTTTATACATCATTTATCACTATATATCTATTTAAACATAAGACTTAAATATATTTATCTGCAATCTAAATCTATTAGAGTTTTGTATTGTGTTCTACTTGCACCTAATCTAGATTTTTGTTTTATTACAAATTATATTAAATAACCTACATATTTCTTCTATGTCTCACAACTTATTTTTAACAACTTCCAAATTGGTTTACCAGATTGTTCACTTTTTTTGAACTACTATCTTTGGTTTGTCTGAAGGGTGCCTTTCTAGCACATATCTTAAGCCAAGTTCCTGTTACTGCTGCTAACTTTCCAATTCAGATACTGGTAGTACATATCTCAAGACAGGTTCCTGCTATCACTGCTGATTTGCAACCCTTTTTGGTTTTAGCATTATTTCCAACAGATTGTGCATCTAACCTGCTCTCTAAGTATATCCTTTTATAGTATAGATGAAATTCTATTTCAGAAATGAGTACACATCCTCTTCTAGCTATTAACTAATGTTTCTACTATTATTACACAATGCTGCAGGTTTTTTTTTGTTCTGTTTCTAACTATAGACAATTTTTCTGCCATTTTAAGAACATCCTAAATCATCCTTTTCCAATGATTATAGTAAACAAGATATATATAAAAGATCATTGTAGGCATACAATTATCTGTTTTGTTAACATTGTTTGAATCTTGATTTTTATATTCACTATTTTATAAAAAAAAAAATAATATAAATATACATTAAATCAATAAAATAAAATAAAATATAAATTGCAAAACTATACATATTTTAAATTTTCTTTATTTTCTAATAGTTTTTTGTTATCATATAAGTTTTTAAGAATTCTTTCAGCTGCCAATTTATTTGTAATCTTGACAAAATCTAAAGACTTAAGGATCCAATAGTGCAGATACTAATTCTTGAGGTATCAGATCAGAATAATAATAAAATATTGTATATATTTTTGCTTTAACTTCATGTAACAAGTCTGTAGCATTATCAGGATTATTTAATATAATTTGTTCTTTATTAGTTTATTTATTTTCTTCATCAAATGCATCTTTTTCATTTTCAATATTTAAATTATCTATATTAATAGTTATTGGTTCAAACATTTCTTTTAATTTTTTAATAACATGATATATAAGGCTATGTGTTGAATAGTATAAGCCATCTAAATATTGAGTAGCTTCTGCAAATAGTCCAAGAACTTTTATGAGATTTTTTAGTAAACTCTACTCCTGTTCTGTTAAATTAATTTCATGCAAATGTTTTTCATCTTTACATTCATCAGAGTTTTTATGAGTCATAAGATGAATAATAAGTAGTTTAATATAAGCTTTAATTTGTATTAAATGTGTTCATGCTAAATAAGAGCTATTCTATCATGTATTACAATCAGCAATGCAATTAATTAAATAATCTGTAGTGTCTTTAGCAATCTTAATAAATAAATAAATTATTTAAATGTATATATTTAAATTATATAAATATCAATAAAAAAAATATTATTATTTAAAATTTATTACAATTCCTTTTTTTGAATTTCTTTTTTGGATTTCTTCTAATTGTTCTGATTGTTTTGAACATAAAAAAAAGTCTATCAACTGTTTTGCATGAATTATTAATGCTTTAACAGATAATAAAGCTTTTCTAATTACTAATTACAATGTATGTGCATTACATCTTTGCCATAAAACTCCATTCATCTTTGCTACAGACTTTTTTATATTTAGGGCATTATCAGTAATAATTGAATGTACTTTGCCTATTAAGTTCCAATACTGAATAATTTTTTCAACAGTTTTATAAATATTATTAGCTGTGTGAAAATATTGAACATGCTGTATAGCAAAAATTACTTTATTTAGTTGAAATTGTTGATCTATATATGAACAAGTAACTTCAAGAAATCTATGTTAATTTTTAGCTGTCTAAAGATCTATTGTAAAAGATACTTTAATAGTATTTTTTTCAAGATAATTATATAACAATAATACACAATAATTGTAAGCATAATAAATAATTTGTTTAACTAGCTTGACATCAGAAATATTAAATGCTGGATCCAATTTATTTAAAAATCATCAGAATAAAGGATGTTGAATAAGAATTAATGGATGCCCAATAAGATTACTAGTTGAGAACTCAGTTTGATATGTTCTTTCACATTCTACTCTAACTAATACTTTGATCTTACAAATAGCAAACTTTTTTTACTCTTTATCATCTCTTTTTCGAATTTCTAAATGAAAAAATTTTTATACCAAGCTAGTTTTATTTGATAAATTAACTTGAAAAATTGTGCCAATTGGAACTTCATCCTGAGAGTCCTGAATAGGATTATTAGTATTTTTGTTATTTGCTCTGTACTTTCTTTTTTTAGTAATTTCATTCATTGTTGTATATATAAAGGATTATTTAATGCAAAGTAAATATTTAAATTGATTATGAATTGATTATAGATTGATTGTATAACAGATAATTAAAATTGTATAACTTAAACAGATAACAGATATTTGTCAGATAATTCAAATAAATCCAACTTAAATTACTTTTAATAAGTAGATATCTGTTATCTACATAGGATCAGATTTTAAAATAGATATCTGGATTGATGGATTTCGAATCACATCTCTATAGCAAGCACAAAAAAATCCAAATTTGGCATAATATGTTGTCTATATAACTGCTATTTTTCTAAATTATATAGATAAATTTAGCAAAATTATGAATAAACAGAATTTTTTAATAAAAGTAAACCTATTTAGTAATACATTTCTTCTTAAATTTAAAAAAAGTATATATTACTTCTTTCTATTACTTATTCATTAGTTTTAGTGCTCATTGAAGTAAATACAAAAACTAAATTATAAATATAAATTTTTTCTAAAGTTATATGCATGCTTATTATTTTTAGTTAATAAAGAATACAAAATTAGAGAAGTTGGAATAGTAGTTGTAATTACAGTTTGCCTTTTGCATAGTATATACTAAAGATTGTTTTTTTTATTGTTTTAGAAACCTTTTTATCTTTTCAATGTAATGCTCTACATTATATCTATTTAATGTTTATATAACTCATATTATATACTATTACAATACTACTATTATATTGCTCTATGTAAGCTATATTAAAAGCATATTGGTTTGCTTTTCTGCATTTTGCTCTTTATTTTTTAGCATTTTCTGTAATTTTAGTAGCTATTTGTTTACATGAGTCTTTTTTTTTTGTATATACTGTTGTAAGATTTGGTAAGTATTAAGAGTAGTCTTGCAGCATGCATATGTCTTTTTTTCAAGTTTGTTTTTATATTTATATATAGTTTTCAAATTTTCAAATACTAAAGAGGCCATTTTTTGAATATAACTTTCTCTAGTTAAATGGTTACATTGTGCTATTGCTGTTTTAAAGATATTTAATGCAAAAATATTTGTTATTATATTAGTAATTTTAGATAAAGGCTTATTTGTTTTTTTTTTTTTATTAAATAATACTCAAGTAGAAACTTTATTACATATAAAAACATAAGTTCTAAATTTAAAGATTTTCAAACTATATTTATACTACAATTAGGTACCCAATATGACATTATATCTCTTATTTTCTATGAGTGCTATAGCTAACTATTTCAAATTAGATTCTAGTTAGAATAGGTTAAAAGAAACCTTTGAGTAATTGTCTAAATATTAAATTATACAAATTGTTAGAAAATAATTTTGTAAGAGCCATTTTGTAATTAAAAGTTTGATATTTATAGATTAAGAGAGAGTTTTAGTATTGTTTGAAGAATTGGATAGAGTTAATAGACTGATTTTAGTACATTTGAACTTTGATATGATGTTGCAAGAGTTTTCTTATTAGTATTAATATATATTATGAGTAAACTAAAGATCTTAATAATACTAGTTAAGTAGATTGTTTAATAGGTAAAATAGAAAAGTATCTGTTTGTTTATTAATAAGTATTTTGATGTTCTTATATATAGTAGTAGAATATATTCCAATAATAGTATATAAAATATATTTATATTAAGAATTTGAGAAATAAAGTATAAAATTTAGAAGAATATTTAATAAAGTTGTTAAGGTTGTATTAGTAATTTGAAGTGATTGAAGAGTGTTATATATTATGTTTTTGAGTAATTGTAAAATATTTGTAGTATTGCTAGGGCATGAGAATAAGTAAAGAGTATTTTTAATATTTATATAGTAAGAACAGTAAGGTGTAATATAAAGGTAAGAATAATAAATATTAAGGTTTTGCATAGTAGATAAGTTATTAGTGAGAATTTTAATATGAAAAGAGTATTTTTATAAGTTATCTTTAAGAGAAAAGATAATTTTAAATAGAAGAAATCATTTAATATTAGTAATATTTTGAAAAAATTTTAAATTTAACTATTTGACAATTTCTTGAATAGTTATAATGTTTTTAATAAAGATGTAAACTTTAAAAAAAATTAGAAGATAGTTTTATAAGAAGTGATTTGGAGTATTGAATTTAGAAATATAGAACTTAATAATAGATTTTAAAGTTTCTTGTTTAGCAAATAAATCTGCTTAGTTGTAAAATGAGTCTGTAGAATATGATTTAATTTTATAAAAAGTGATAGTAATGTTTTTAAGATGTTTAAAATAATTAATATAGTAGATAATATTTCAGTTTTTAGTTTGCATAAGTTTGAAAATAATAGATTGTTCAAGATTTTAATAGCAGTTGTGTTATCAATATAAATATTTAAAGAAAACTTATTTGGTTTTTTTTTTTTTTTAATATTAAAGTTTCTATTTTTAGAATGTGATATTTTTATTCAAGTATATAGGACATAGCATGCTACTAGGAGCTACCTTATATTGAAGATTACAACTAGCTATATGTGCACTTTTGGTACCTAATTTAAGTAGTCTGCTTATACATTACTATATAAGTTCTATACTAGATGCCATCTTGCAAGCCAACTAGAGGTTTTGTTTATTTAAACTTTCTGCATATGCAATTCTCTTTATATTATAAAAATATCTTTAAGGCTATACCTATTCAAGTTTTCAATGCTAGTCAGTACTCTTAAGACTACTTTATTCTTAACAAAAACTTACTAGAGCCTTTATGCCTATATATACTAACTTAGTTTTATGCAACATATTATAGTTATTTAATACTTGCAATCATAAGGGTTGCCTGTTTAACTGCTATATTATACTATTTCTACTCTTGTAAAGTTCACTAGAACCCCAGTATCTATCTTCCTGACATCTTTTCTATTATCCTCTACTAGTCACAACTTAGAACTGACAGTTTCTTTCAGACTACCAATTCAGATAGCCTAGTATGATATACTTTTGTATTCTTTTCTTTTGACAAGTCTAGCAGCCTGATTGGTTATATGCTTTTCTACACATATTTGGTGTTTGGTTTAACCTTTGGTTTCTATGAAGGCATGTTATGGGCTTTAACTGATTCAATGGTAATATCAAAAGTTTATACTATTTCTTTATTCAGAAATTTCCAAGTAGGTTTCTGTTACCTTGGTTTCTTAGTCTTCTACATCTGGTGGTCTTATTATAGGTTATTTGTTTCTTTTTTAATTAATTTAAAAAATATATTATTGATTGTTTTTTTTTTTAATTAACTTAAAAGATATTTTTTCAATTAGTTCACAAATTATACTATCAGTTGTTTTTATTTTATTATAGTTATACAAATTAGTAGTTACATTTATTTTAGAAGACATTGTATTTTATAAATACAAATTTTACAAAAACAAATTATAAATTTTTGGTATAGTAAAAGATTAAGAATTTTGAATTTTTAATGCAAAGAAAAAGTAAGAATAAATGGTTATATAAACAGAAAATCAATTTATATTTTTAAGAAAAGCAGAGTTTAGCATATATATAATAATCTATTTGGATATTAATTAAAGAACAAAAAAACTAATAAATGTAAATTCTTATTTTAGTATTATAATTAAAATTTAAAATACAACTTTTTTATTAATTATTCTAAAGAATTAGATTTTATAAAATCAAGCTCTTGATTGTGTTATAATTAAATAGTTAATTGTATTATAAATAGTATTATAATTTTATTTTGATATTCTAAAACTATTAAAAATTATAATAAGTGTAATATAAAAGTAAAAAATATGTATAATATGTATAATAAAAAAAGTATAATATATAAAATACTAACTCATATATATTTTGAAACTCTTGTTTTGTTTACAGAAATTAATTTAAACTGTTTTTTAGCATCTTTTTCAATTTTATTCTAATAATTAAGATAGTGTTTAAATATTACAATTAAAGATAGTTAATTTGCAGTTTCTTAAAAAATTCTATACAGAATTCATTAAACCTAGCTATTATATAAAAAATATATACTTAATTCTCAAGCTTGATTGGTCAATAGTTGTAAAAAAAAATTTTATATATATAAATTTTTTTAAAAAAAGGCCAGCCAGCCAGGTCTATTTAAAAGTTTCATGTTATAAAATCAATTAAATTTGTATAATCTTAAAAAATTTATAAATTATATAATTTAATAACTTTTAATAATGTTTTTTTTTATAATTTAATAATAACTTGTAGAGTCTTTTTATAATTAATAACTTGAAGATAGTCTTATTTTGCAAATTAATTTTAAAATTAATTTTTAAGTAATTTTTTATTAACAATAAAAGTTTAAATAAGAAAATATTAAAGTTTTGATATTATAAAGTTTCTTTAAAATTCTATATAAAATAATATAAGAAAAACAGTTTGTTTAATTACTCCAAAGATTGTAAATCAATAGTTGCAGTTTCGGGTTTTTTTAAAATAACATTATTGTTTTGATCTCTTACTAATTATTGCTAATATATTTTAACATAAAAATAATATTATTAACTTTGACAAATATATAGAATATGATTAAATACTATTATTATATTTTATCAAGTTGTAATATAAAATTTATATGTATGGGTGTGGTGACCTAGTGAAGTGGTCAGGTTGTCAACCCTCCAAGTGGTTGGTTGGGTATTTAAATCCCATCGATAACAAAAATTTGGATAATCACCTATGTAATATTTGTATTATAGCAATTGTTACTAATGATTGAGTTAGGATACCTGTAATAGTGGTCATACCAGATGACTGGCAGGTTATGGGGCATCTGTATAAGTATGGCATTACACAGAGGAATACAAACTGACAAATCGGGCAGTACAAACATTAGATAAGTTCTTGTAGTTATATAAATCTGTTGAAATTGGGTAGCAAGAAGTCTATTTAGAAAGACCTGAATAGAGAGGTAGCTGGATCTTTGACAGTCCTACTGTAAAGGCTAGTCTGAGAAAATGGATACCAAGGTCATAGTACCTGGTCATAGTAGCTGGACGGGCAAGAACTTCTA